CTAAGTTAGTACTGCTCAGAGGAAAATGAAACATTTAATTGCACAAATATTAGTTTCTTGGGGTTTTTTTTAAAGGTACACCTTAAAAGACTTGAAGAAAAGGATATGGAAAGGCTTCAATTTTATTAAAAATACATAGAGACCTCGTGCTTGCATCGTGTTGTTGAGATCCATAGACTTGTGCCCGTTTCCTTTTAAACTTTCAGGACATTTGAATATATACTTCAGAAGTTCTCATGGAAAATCCCAAGAATGGAAATTCTGCTTTTTTTAAAAGCAGTTCCAGTCTTAATGTATGGTTGCAATGAGAAATTGAATTCAAAAAAACCTTCTAAGTGATGTGTCATAGCTGTGAAGTCTGTCACAGCAGGAGCCCTTCAGTGCTGTGAAGGATGCCTGGACACCTGAGTCACTGGTTTTGCTTTCTGAAAGATGACGGCAAACGCCCTCCTGTAGCGAGCACTCGGCAAGACAGTGAAATGTTCGAAGGGTAAAATGTGAAATAGAGACACAATTCTATAGGAAACTGTTTGCCCTGCCTGGAGAGCAAAGGGAGGATTAGCTGCTGGTGTTTCTGCTGCTGGCACCACTGCTGGGCCCTCGGTTCCTGGGCGGTTTTGGGAAGACACAGAGAGGTGTCACTGACCACAGCTCGGCACAGGGGTGGAGGCGAGCTTAGGAAAATCAGAGGTTTGCTTTGTAGGGCAAGGAAAATTGTCACGGTGCAGGAACAGAGGTGGGAAGGAAAATCCTCTCTGGAAGGGGATTTGGGAGCAACTTTAGCTCCAAGAGATCTCAGGGCAGTATGAAATATTTTGGCACAATGCTGAGCACTTGCCAGGGTGCAAGATGGACACAGAGCAGGGGGGAAGAACTGTTCCTGTGCTGCTGGAGCAGCTGTGCCTGGAGAATGAGTAAAGTGGAGGGGGACAAGTGAAAGGGAGACTAGACTGATCAAGGGATGGATGTAGGGAAATATTAACATACAACTTCATGAAGTTGTAGGTATTATTCATCATTATTTATTGACCATCATGCAATTTGATGCCATCAGGGGAGGTTTAAGCAGAATATCAGAAAAAGGTTCTTCCTCCAGAGGGTGCTGGGTGCTGCCCAGGCTCCCCAGGGAGCAGGCACAGCCCCAGGGGTGCTCAGGGTGGGGTTGTTGGGGTGTCTGTGCAGGACAGGGGCTGGGCTTGACAGTTCTCGTGTGTCCCTTCTAAGTTCAGGATATTCCGTGCTTCTTAGTCTGTCATTTTTGAAAGAATTTAAAAGGCAGTAGGATTATAAAGAAATTTAAAATAAATACTTAGAGTGTATGCAGTGTCTTTTTTCAGCCATTTCTATACTGTCAAAGAAAATTATGCACAGAAGTTATTTAAAGTGTGTAGACAGAAGGTGTTCCTTTGGTAGTTATCAGTCTTTGGAGTAATCTCCTGGGAAATCCTGAGCTCCAGTTCCTTGGGAGTCTTTAAAGAGAAAACCACTCAGTCTGTTCTACCTTGCAGTCATGGGTGGGCTGGTGAGACATTTTTTAGCTCTGAATTTAAATCCTCTCCGAGATCTCTGATTGCCCTTCCAGCAAATCCGTGCTGGCACGGCTGGAGCAGGGGGATGTGGATGCTCCTGGTGGGGTGGGGATCACCTGGATCACCTGGGGAACAGCATTCAGGAAACCACGGGTGTGGAACCAGGATTGTACAGGCAGCTTTGGACTGGGACATATTTTGGCAGCTGTGCACGAGCTGCTGTTGTCGCTGTGTTTTCAGGGATCTGCCTGGAACAGAACCACTCTGCAGAGCCCCAGTGTGCTGTCCTCGGGTTTCTCTGTTTGTGAGCCAGAACTGGGATGTGTTGCAGCAATCTGGGAAGTGACTCTGGGAGTCCTGGTGTTTGTACCAGTTTGGTTTGCTGTACCTGGCTCTTACAGAGGTTTATACACTGCTGCTCTTGTTTGCCCAGGAAATGATCCTTATTTTGTTGTGTCCTAACACCAGTAAGGTGTGACAATGCCAAACCCCTCTGCCAGCACTTGGGGAGGTCCTGCCTTTTAATGGATACCTCTTCCAGCTGGGCTGCTACAGCCTCTCCTTGCTTGATTATACCGAACTCCTCAAATTTTGTTGCAAGATTTTAGGTATTTTATCCAGAGCTTTTCAGTGAACGAAGAAAATCAGTGTTGGATTGCACTTTTCGTGCTTGAATGAAACTAAAAAATTGCACAGAGGAGAGGAGCCCCAGAAGACCCAGTGCTAATTTTGATGACTATTTAGTAAAATTTCCCCAGAAAGAAAACCATTTTTGCTTGTTAATGAAAAGCATTGACTTGCTGCTGTTACAGAAAACAGGAGATGCAGTTTTTAACCAAAATGGCTGTGAAGAAAGACAGCTCCACAAAGTCTGATTGAATTTTAATCCCTTCCCAGAATCCAAAATCTTTGCATTGGCAAATACCACCCGGCCACAATGGAAATATCCAGAGCCAGAGTAGCCTCAAATACAGAGCAAGGACCACAAGCCAGAGCTTGCAGTAAAAACAAAGATGTGTTAAATCAAGAGAAAGAAAACCTTTTTTAATTATTTTTTTTTCCTTTTGAAAGCAGTTAAATGCTGACAAGAGCAAGGAAACATTTGCTTCACTCTTTCAGAATTTCAGCTCTGAAAGTTTCCTGTGGCTACCCAGGCTGAGCCTGGGGCTGAGAGAGGAAAGCCCTACTAATACAGAAATGGGAGTGGAGATGGCTCAGATGGATCCTGCCCCAAATCAAGAAGCATACATGTAATTAACGATGTGGTGTTAAACCCAGCACAAGGTTTTAATGTTAATTAAAGGCTTTTGGAGTTTCCTATGAGAGCATTTAAGTGCTGGATTCTGTTTTGTGCTACTGGAACCTGAGATTGCAGCCTGTGCACGTCATCCCTGCCTGTGGTATCTTCCACATCATCTGGAGCTGGAGAGTTGGATTCTTTCCCTGGCATTTTGCTGTGTGTTCTTTGTACTTTGCCCAGCAATTAATCCTGTTCCTCCCACTACCCGTGGGTTTGTCCTCCTCCCACACGTGAGATGGGGCAGTGGTTAGAGCTCCTTTGACTCACTCTCTGCTCGGTATCTCAAGGGAAAATGGAATTTGTGACTTTGTGACTCCCAAGGAGCTGACCCGGGGCCCAAATGATGAGAAGTCGTTTTGGCTTTCTGGTTTGGTCCTCCACTCTTTCTCCTGTTCGAGAGGAAACTGTGTCATTGTCCAGAAGTGCTGGTTGATTCATCTGATTCAGAAAGCAGGGAAAAGTTAAAAACTGGAGAGAATTTTATGTCCTAAGTATGCTCATGCTGCTTAAATCACTGCTTGTAGCAAGAAAACCTGGTACTTCAAGACCCTTGAAGTTCTTATTTACCTAAAAATTGAGGTATTTTATGAGGAAAAGTATCCTAAGTACTTGGCAATCTTACAAAGAGGGTGAGGACCCACATTAGCGACATTGCCAGGCTGAGTTCTCAGCTTGAATCAGTTTTCTGGTCTTCTGTATAACAAGCAGAGAAAAGGGTTAAATTCTCAGTCAGAAGTTGGAGTATATTTGCATATAATTGTCTTAATTATATTGAATTGAATGGCCCTTTGGAATTGTGCACTGAGATATGTCTGAGAACGATGTCTTGGCTGAAAGAGTAAAAAGCAAGATTTAAGCAGGTGGGAGGGAAATATTTAACCACAGAAAGGTGCAGAATGAGAGCAGCTTAGGGGTTTAGTCCTAGGACTCAGAGCAAACCCACAAATGTGTGAGGGCAGGCTCGGGCTGGATATGAGGGAATGGTGACATTCCCGAGGCTGCCAGAGCTCCAGGAGCGTTGGGACAGCGCTGCCAGGGATGCTCAGGGTGGGGCTGTTGGGTGGGGACTGCCCTGGGTGACCCTGGGGGTCCCTCCCAGCTCAGGATATTCTAAGATTTACTTTGAGGTGCTGAGCAAAGGATTAGGGTTTTCTTTATTTTGTTGTTTTTATTTGGAGGGCACATAAAACATTTGTAAACCCAGCCAAAAATCCTGCTGGAATTGTTTGCTTTAATTTTTCCTGTATACAAGGATAAATCTGTGTTGGGGGTTGGTGTAGGTACCTCTGAAGTATCAGGGAGGAAAGGAGTTGAAGTTTGGTCAGCATTGACTGGATGAATTTTGAGGACATAAGCTTCTCCTGGCATTAACCTGGAAGTATTCAGACTTCAAAACATCTTTCAAGATTTTAAGCAGAATATTTTAATCTTGTGCTGCTACTTTTTTT